TTTCTCCATGTTGGTCAGACTGGTCTCAAAGTCCTGACCTCAGGTGATCCACTTACCTCAGCCTCCCAAAGTGCTGGGATTACGGGTGTGAGCCACTGCGCCTGGCCCTGTTTCTATTTTTTTTTAAAGACAGGGTCTTGCTCTGTTGCCCAGACGGGCTGGAATGCATTGGCACGACCATGGCTTACTACAGCCTTCACCTCCTGGGCTCAGGCAATCCTCCCACCTCAACCTCCCAACTAGCTGGAACTAATTTTTTATTACATGCGGTTGATTTTTTTTGTTTTTATTTTTATAGATATCCGGGTCTCACTATGTTGCACAGCCTGGTCTCAAAGGGTCCTCTTGCCTCAACCTCCAAAAGTATTGGGATTGTAGGCATGTGCCACTGTGCCTGGCCCTGGGCAAGTCTTTTGGCTTCTTCTCATCTATAAAATGGGATCAGTAGTAACCTTAGGAAGGTGAGAAGGTTCTGGAAGATAATGCAGTAAAGTGGAACTTACTTAGTGAGCCCTTACTCCAATACTTAGGGAAGGGCTCAGTACATGTGAGTTTGTTGTTTTTGAATGTGGTAGGAAAGAGAAGGCAATAGAGAGGAACCAGAGAGGGAAGATGTCAGGCTGCCTCCTTTCTTTCTCAAGCTGTCATCATGTCCCTGCCCTCCACCCCTGGGCTCCTAAATCCAATTATGATTCCTGGAGAAGATGCTTACAAACTCAATCTGTGGGCGGGGCATGGTGGCTTATGCCTATAATGCCAACACTTTGGGAGGCTGAGGCAGGCAGATGGCCCGAGGCCAGGAGTTCGATCAAGACCAGCCTGGCCAACATGGCAAACCCCCATCTCTACTAAAACTACAAAATTTAGCCAGTCGTGGTGGTGCACACCTGTAATCCCAGCTACTCGGGAGGCTGAGGCATGAGAGTCTCTTGAACCCAGGAGGTGGAGGTTGCAGTGCGCCAAGACTGCGCCACTGCACTCCAGCCTGGGTGGCAGAGACTCTGTCTCAAAAAAAGAGAAAAAAGAAACTCAATGTGTCCTCATTCCCACTCTTGTCCCCGCCAAATACCCAGTCTGGCCTAACTCCAGGTGTTTCAGTGAATAGAAGATATTTCTAACTAGGTTTTTGTTGTTGTTAGTTTGCTTCTGTTCCTCTAATGTGTGGGTCATTAGGGCCTCATTGGGCAGTTTGACAACTTTGTAAATTCACCCTGAAACAGTTTGGTTTGTTTCTTGTGAGCTTTCTGGGCTTTATTCAGTGGCTGTGATACTAAGCTTATGGTTGAAAACATTGGCTTCAGATAGGCCCAGAATAAAATCCCTGCTTCTGTTGCTGTGTGTCCTTGGCCAAGCTGCATTCCCATTCTGGGCCTCAGTTTTCTTTTTCTTTTTTTCTTTTTTTTTTTTTTTTGAGACAGAGTCTCACTCTGTCATCCAGGCTGGAGTGCAGTGTCGAAATCTCAGCTCACTGCAACCTCCACCTCCCAGGTTCAAGAGATTCTCCTGCCTGAGCTTCCTGAGTAGCTGGGATGACAGGCTTGCGCTACCACACCCAGCTAATTTTTGTATTTTTAGTAGAGTTGGAGTTTCACCTTCTTGTCCAGGCTGGTCTTAACCTCTCAAAGTGCCAGGATTATAGGTGTAAGCCACCACATCCGGTCTCTTTTTTTTTTTTTTTTTTTTGAGCCAGGTTCTCACTTTGTTGCCCTGGCTGGGGTGGTCTTGGCTCACTTCAGCCTCTACCTCCTGGGATCAAGGGATCCTCCCACCCCAGCCTCCTGGGTATCTGAGACTACAGGTGTCTGCCACCACGCCTGTCTAATTTTTGTAGAGTCGGCATTTCACCATGTTGCCTAGGCTGGTCTTGAACTCCTGACTCAAGTGACCCACTCACCCACCTTGGCTTCCCAAAGTGCTGGGGTTACAGGCATGAGCCAAGAGGCCCAGCCGGCCTCAGTATTCTCATGTAAAAATGGGACCACATTTAAACTCTGAGCTTCTTGTAAGGAGTTGATGTGGTAACTGATGAGGTGGCATATATAAAATGCCTGGGGTGTATTATGCTTTATATAAGTGTGAGATATTTTTCCTATAATTTTTTTTTTTTCAGACGGTGTCTTGTGCTGTCACCCAGGCTGCAGTGCAGTGGCTCGATCTCGGCTCACTGCAACCTCTGCCTCCCAGGTTGAGGTGATTCTCCTGCCTCAGCCTTCCTAGTAGCTGGGACTATAGGCGCCTGCCACCACACCTGGCTAATTTTTGCTTTTTTTTTTTTTTTTTTTGAGACAGAGTTTCGCTCTTGTTACCCAGGCTGGAGTGCAATGGCGCGATCTCGGCTCACCGCAACCTCCGCCTCCTGGGTTCAGGCAATTCTCCCGCCTCAGCCTCTTGAGTAGCTGGGATTACAGGCACGCGCCACCATGCCCAGCTAATTTTTTGTAGTTTTAGTAGAGACGGGGTTTCACCATGTTGACCAGGATGGTCTCGATCTCTTGACCTCCTGATCCACCCGCCTCGGCCTCCCAAAGTGCTGGGATTACAGGCTTGAGCCACCGCGCCCGGCCAATTTTTGCATTTTTAGTAGAGACGTGCTTTCACTATGTTGACCAGGATGGTCTCGAACTTCTGATCCACCTGCTTCAGCCTCCCAAAGTGGTGAGATTACAGGCATGAGCCACCATGCCTAGTTTTTCTATGATTTTTATTCTTTCAAGAAAAGGTATTGAGGCTGTGCGAGGTGGCTCACGCCTACAATCCCATCACTTCAGGAGGCCAAGGTGGGAGGCTGGGATTAACCAGGGTGGCAGGATCACTGGAACTCAGGAATTTGAGACCAGCCTGGGCAACACAGGGAAAATTCATCTCTACAAATAAATTTGGGTTTTTTTTTTGAGGCAGCAACTCTCGTTTTGTCGCCCAGGCTGGAGTGCAGTGGCACGATCTCAGCTCACCGCAACCTCCGCCTCCCGGGTTCCGGCGATTCTCCGGCGTCAGCCTCCCCAGTAGCTGGGCTTACACGTGTGCACCTCCATGTCCTGCTAATTTTTGTATTTTTAGTAGAGAGGAGATTTCGTCTTGTTGGCCAGGCTGGAGGTCCTGGCCTCAAGTGATCCACCCACTTTGACCTCCCAAAGTGCTGGAATTATAGATGTGAGCCACCGTGCCTGACCTTGTTTTTTTTTTTTTTTTTTTTTTTTTTTAATGGAGTCTCACTCTGTCACCCAGAGTGGAGGGCAGTGGCGCGACCTCAGCTCACTGTGGCCCCAACTTCCTGGGCTCAAGTGATCCTCTCACCTTAGCCTCCTGAGAAGCTGGGACTACAGTTGCATGCCACCACATGCAGCTAATTTTTGTATTTTTTTGGTAGAGATGGTGTCTCACTATGTTGCCCAGGCTGGTCTTGAACTCCTAGGCTCAAATGATCCGCCCGACTTGTCCTTCCAAAGTGTTGAAATTACAGGCATGAGCCACTGCACCCAGCCTCAGATAATTTTTTAAAAAAAATTAGGCTTGGTGGCATCAGCCTATAGTCCCAACAACTCTGGAGGCCGAAGCGGGAGAATCACGGACCCAGGAGGCTGAAGCTGCAGTGCGCCCTGATTACCCACTATACTCTAGCCTGGGTGACGGCGACAGCATCTCAAAAAAAAAAAAAAAAAAAGCAACAACAAAACAGAAAGAAAAACGTACTGAGCGCAAGCTCTGGAGTCAGAGTGCCTGGCTTTAAATCTGGAAAACAGGGGTTCATTCCTTAAGTGTTTGTTTATTTATTCTTATTTAATATTTTTAGTTGCCCAGGGTGGAGTGCAGTGGTACGACCTTGGCTCACTGCAGCCTCCACCGCCCGGTCTCAAGCCATCCTCCCACCTCAGTCTTCCAAGTAGCTGGGACTGCAGGCATGGGTCACCATTCCTGGCTAATTTTTTAAAAAATTTTTGTAGAGACAGGGCTTTGCCACGTTGGCCAGGCTAGTCCTGAATGACGAGACTGAAGTTGTCAACCTGCCCAAAGTGGTGGGATTACAGGTGTGAGCCACCACACCCGGCCCACAAGTGTTTTAGTTATTCATTTATTTGTTCATTTATTTTTTGAGACAGGGTCTGACTCTGCTGTGAGGGCTAGAGTGCAGTGGCACTATCTTGGCTCACTCTGACCTCTACCTCCTGGGCTTAAGCCATCCTCCCACCTTAGCCTCCAAAAAGCTGGGACTACAGGGGCCTGCCACCATACCTGGCTAATTTTTGTAAGTTTTGTAGAGACAGAAAATACATGTTGTCCAGGCTTGTCTCAATCTCCTGAGTTCAACAGATCTGCCTGATTCAGCCTCCCACTGTGCTAGAATTACACGGTTGAGCCACCGAGCCCAGCCTGTTTATTTATTTAGAGACAGGGACTGTCTCTGTTGCCCAGGCTGGAGTACAGGGGTGCAATCATAGCTTACTGCAGCCTCAACCTCCTGGCCTCAAGTGATCCTCCTGCCTCAGCCTCCAGAGAAGCTGGGACTGCAGACGCTTGCCACCACGCCCGGCTAATTAAAAAACCTTTTTTTGTTGTTGGCAGGGCACGGTGGCTCACGCCTGTAATCCCAGCACTTTGGGAGGCCGAGGTGGGCAGATCACTTGAGATCAGGAGCTTGAGACTAGCCTGGCCAACATGGCGAAACCCCATCCCTACTAAAAATACAAAAATTAGCTGGGCATGGTGGCATGTGCTTGTAATCCCAGCTACTCGGGAGGCTGAGGCACAAGAAGCTCTTGAACCTGGCAGGCCAAGTTTGCAGTGAGCCAAGATCGCGCCACTGCACTCCAGCCTGGGTGACAGGGCCACCCTCCATCTCAAACAAACAAATTTTTTGTTTTGTATAGACAGGGTCTTGCTATATTGCCCAGGCTGGTCTCGAATTCCTGGGCTCAAGTGATCCTCCCACCTCGGCCTCTCAAAGTGCTGGGATTGCAGGCATGAGCCACGGTTCCTGGCCCACAAGTGAATAGAGCACTTACCATGTGCCACGGCCTGTACGGGGTGCAGACTCCACCCTGTCATTGGGAAACTCGCTGTTGTCATAATGGTGCAGTAGGTATGCGGGCATTTTTTTGCTCATTTTCAAGTTTGAGTTTCTCTGTTCCCGATTCATTTTCAGCCCCTTATGCCAGCTTTGCCTGCTTGTCACTGCTTTCAGGGATTCTTTTTAACATTCTGTCTCCTGCTCTCATTGAATTATCTGGAAACCTATCGGTTTAGGGAAAAGTTGCCAATCTCCCACTTGTCCCTGTTCCTGTGTGTCACATCTGGCCACCCTGGGGTGACCCGACACTTCTTTGTTTTCCGTTGCCTTCATTTATTTGTCTTAGAGCATTTGTCTGCTTTCCAAGTTATTTTGCCTTTTCTTAAAATCTCAAGTTTGTTTTCAGCCTGTGCTTGTCTGAAGCTTACTCATACAAAATGGTATTTTTACCATTTTTATTTCAAAACCTGTGACATATACTAGGAAAGGAAGACAAAAATTGTCTTTTTTAACATGTTTAATGGTGTATTTCTAACTGCTATGGTACAGCTGTCTTACTCCTGAAAGCGCAAGTTTTCTCAAAGGTTTGGTTCATGGCACCTGCTTGGTGGTGCCATTCTTGACCCATTGATTTGTTATTTATTTATTTATTGAGACAGAGGCTCAGTCCCTCTCCCAGGTTGGGGTGCAGTGGTAGTGCCATCAGGGCTCCCTGCAGCCTCGACCTCCCAGGCTCACAGTCCTCTCACCTCGGCCCTCCAGGTAGTGGGATTACAGGCCTGTGCCTCCACAACCAGCTAGTTTTAGGTTTCTTTTTTGTTAACTTTTAGTAGAGTTAGGCTATTACTGTGTTGACCAGGCCGGTCTCCGACTCCTAAGCTCAAGCAGTCCTTCTGCCTTGGCCTCCCAAAGTGCTAGGATTACAGGCCTGAGCCAGTAATCTGCACCCAGCCCTTTTTTTTTTTCCCCATAAGATAGAGATGAGTTCTTGCCATGTGGCCCCGGCTGGTCTCAAACTCCGGGGCTCAAGTGATCCATCCTCCTCAGCCTCCCCAAGTGCTGGGATTACAGACATGTGCCACTGCGCCTGGCCCCCTTGATTTAGAATCATACCCTCACCCTTCCAAATTCTCTTGAGATCTGCCCGCCTCGGTCTCCCAAAGTACTGGGATTACAGATTACAGACATGAGCCACCACGCCCGGCCTAGTCAGTGATTTTCAAAGTCTTCATTAGCCTCCCTTTTCCTTATCTTTTGTTTTGTTTTTGTTTTTAAGAGACAGGGTCTCACTCTGTGGCCCAGGCAGGAGTGCAGTGGTGCAGTCATAGCTCACTGCAGCCTCACCCTCCCAGGCTCAAGTGATCTTCCCACTTCAGCCTCCTGAGTAGCTGGGATACCGGCATGCACCACCACGTTAGTTTTATTTTTTGTAGAGACAGGGTTTCACTATGTTGCAGGGACTGGTCCCAAACTCCTAGGCTCCAGTGATATGCCTGCTTCAGCCTCCCAAAGGGCTCGGATTACAATCGTGAGCCACCGTGCCTGGCCTCAAATACAATTTTTTTTGTTTTAATTGTATCTCTTTTTTCATTTTCAAATATATATTTTTTTAAATTTTATTGACTAGAAGAAAGGAGTTTTTTTTTTTTTTTTTTGACACAGTCTCCCCCTGTCGCCCAGGCGGAAGTGCAATGGCGTGCTCTCTGCTCACCACAACCTCCACCTCCCAGGCTCAAGCGATTCTCCTGCCTCAGCTTCCCAAGTAGCCAGGCACACAGCACCTTACCAAGGCACACAGCACCACACCTGGGTAATTTTTGTATTTTTAATAGAGATGAGATTTCACTATATTGGTCAGGCTGGTCTCGAACTCCTGACCTTGTGGTCCACCCACCTCGGCCTCCTATAGTGCTGGGATTATAGGCTTGAGCCATTGCGCCCAGCCTCAAATAAGTTTTTAAGAAGAGTTTGTTGGGGCCAAGCACGGTGGCTCATGCCTATAATCCCAGCTCTTTGGGATACTGAAGCAAGCAGATCACAAGGTCAGAAGATTTAGACTATCCTGGCTAACACAGTGAAGTGAAACCCTGTCTTTACTAAAAATACAAAAAATTAGCCAGGCATGGTGGTACGCACCTATAGTCCCAGCTACACGGGAGGCTGAGGCAGGAGAATCACTTGAACCTGGGAGGCGGAGGTTACGGTGAGCTAAGATCACAGCATTGCATTGCGCTCCAGCCTGGGCAACAAGAGCAAAACTCCGTCTCCAAGGTTCAAAAAAAAAAAAAAAAAAGGATTAGTTAGGCTTGGTGGCTAAGGAGGTTAAAGCTATAATGAGCTGTGACAGCACCACTGCACTCCAGCCTGGGTAACAAGAGCGAAACTCCGTCTCAAAAAAAAAAAAAAAAAAAAAATGTATCAAGCACAAGCCCTGGAGCCAGAGCGCCTGGCTTTGAATCCTGGCTTCATCTGTCATCAGCCATGTGACCTTGGGTAAGTCACTTGATCCCGTTGGACATCAGTTTCCTCCTCTGGGAAATAAGGGTTCATTCCTTAAGTAGTCCACAAGTGTTTTACTCATTTATTTACTTAGAGACAGGGCCTGCCTCTGTTGCCTAGGCTAGAGTACAGTGGCATGATCATAGCTCACTGCAGCCTCAAACTCCTGGGCCCAGTGAATCTTCCTGCCTCAGCCTCCTGAGTAGCTGGAACTACAGGCTCATGTCACCATCCTTAGCCAATTAAAAAATTATTTTAGACATGTGGTCACAGTTTGTTTCCCAGGCTGGTCTTGATCTTCTGGGCTTAAGCGATCCTCCTGCCCTGGCCCCCGCAAAAGTGCTGGGTTTAAGGCATGAGTCACCACCCTTATCCTTCACTTTTATTTTTATTTATTTATTTGAGATGGAGTCTCCCTGTGTCGCCCAGGCTAGAGTGCAGTAGCACCGTCTCAGCTCATTGCAACCTCCAACTCCCAGGTTCAAGCGATTCTCCTGCCTCAGCCTCCCGAGTAGCTGGGATTACAGGCGCCTATCACTACGCCCAGCTAATTTTTTGTATTTTTAGTAGAGAAGAGATTTCACCCTGTGGTCCAGGCTGGTCTCAAACTCCTGACCTCAAGTGATCTGCCTGCCTCAGCTTTCCAAGGTGCTGGGATTATAGTCGTGAGTCACCACACCCAGCCCACTTTTTCTTTTTAATCCCAGAACCAGCACATGGCGCTATTGCTTAGTGCCAAACTGGTACCAGGTGCTCTACTGGGTTTGTGTCAGCAAATGGTCCGCCAGCCTATGGGTGGATGCTGTCATTATTGCCATTTTACAGTGGGGGAAACTGAGGCACATGGGATGCAAAACCTGCCTGAGGTCATACTGCCAGAAGTGGGAAAGCTGGAATCCAGCAGGCCCTGCCTGGTTCTTGTCTGCTTCCAGGATCTCAGGGCAACAGGATGATTCCCACCTTCAGGGAGCTATTAGTCAGAAAGGAAAACTTAAAAGGGAGAGGACCCAGCAGACTTTTTTTTTTTTTTTTTTTAAGACGGGGTTTCACCATGTTGGTCAGGCTGGTCTTGAACTCCCGACCTCAGGTGATCCACCCGCCTTGGCCTCCAAAGTGCTTGGATTACAGGTGTGAGCCACTGCGCCCGGCCCCAGCAGACTTTTTTTTTTTTTTTCGAGTCGGAGTTTCGCTCTTGTTACCCAGGCTGGAGTGCAATGGCGCAATCTCGGCTCACCGCAACCTCCGTCTCCCGGGTTCAGGCAATTCTCCTGCCTCAGCCTCCTGAGTAGCTGGGATTACAGGCACGCGCCACCATGCCCAGCTAATGTTTTGTATTTTTAGTAGAGACGGGGTTTCACCATGTTGACCAGGATGGTCTCGATCTCTTGACCTCGTGATCCACCCGCCTCGGCCTCCCAAAGTGCTGGGATTACAGGCGTGAGCCACCGCGCCCGGCCTCCCAGCAGACTCTTAAGGCCAAAAAAACCAGGAGCAAGGTATGGATGAGTCAGGATTGTGGACAAAGGAGCAGCAGGGTGGGGCATAGAAAGAACTGGAGCCAGGCGCGCAGTGACTCATGCCTGTAATCCCAGCACTATGGGAGGCAGGCAGATCACCTGAGGTCAGGAGTTCAAGACCAGCCTGGCCGACATGGTCACACCCTGTCTCTACTAAAAATACAAAAATTAGCCGGGCATGGTGGTGGGTGCCTGTAATCCCAGCTACCCAGGAGGCTGAGGTAGGGAGAATTGCTTGAACCCAGGAGACGGAGGTTGCAGTGAGCTGAGATTGCGCCACTGCACTCTAGTCTGGGCAACAGAGCAAGACTTTGTCTCCAAAAAAAAAGAAGGAACAAAGAACAGGATGAGGAATGAAACCCTGGTGTCCTGCCACCAATTCCCATGTGACTGGGCAAGTACATTCCTGATAACCTGCAACCTGCTGTGTGCCCAGCCCTGTGCTGGGTGTGACCCTGGCCCTGTGATGGGGAATGGGGTCATCTGACTAGGGGTGGAGATGGAGAAGTGGGGTGGGGTCAGACATCTACTTTTTATTATTTATCATTATTTTTCCTTTCTTTCATTCTTTTTCTGTTGTTTTTGAGCCAGGGTCTTACTTTGTTGCTCAGGCTGGAGTGCAGTGGTAAAATCTCAGCTCACTGCAACCTCCGTCTCCTGGGTTCAAGCAATTCTCCCTGCCTCAGCCTCCTGGGTAGCTGGGACTGCAGTTGCATGCTGGCTAACTTTTGTATTTTTAGTAGAGACGAGGTTTTGCCATGTTGCCCAGGCTGGTCTCGAACTCATGGGCTCAAGCGATCTGTCTGCCTCAGCCTCCCAAAGTTCTGGGATGAAGTCATGAGCCACTGCACCCAGACTATTTTTCCTTCTTGGTTTAGTTTATTCTGTTGTTTTCCCCCCTTTGACTTTTTTTTTTTTTTAAAGACAGGGTTTCACCGTGTTGTTCAGGCTGGTCTTGAACTCCCAACTTCAGGTGAACCGCCCGCCTTGGCCTCCAAAGTGCTTGGATTACAGGCGTTTTTTTTTTTTGTTTGTTTTGTTTTTTTTGAGATAAGAGTCGCTCTGTCA